TTTTTTACAAAACTTTCGAACGAACGAACGAACAAAACAATTTTTTTTATATTGTCGAACGGTCGAACGAACGTTCGAAGCCAACACTAGTAGTAGAAAGCAAAAAATGTCATATGAATGCCAGTTTTTAAAAAAAAAAGCTCATATGAAATATGCAATTCACAAGAATTACACGGAAGAAATTGTGTTTCGAATATGAAAGCATCTGCATCTACACTATGATTTGGAAGCTTTTATTATATGCTGGAACATACTAACATCATCGATATTTAAATGATCAAGATCTGTTGACTTCTTGATCAGAATTATCGATGCCATTCTATGATCGATTCATAATAAGTCTAAGATCATTTGTTTAATATTTTGGCGTAAGTGGACAATTGTATTAAAAAAGGTCGTTTCCAACCTAATGTCAAGTACTGAACTTCGAATGGAATATTCAAGTTTTTTTCTTCTTAGTAGAAAAGGTTCATAATGATATGGCTCCAAATTTGATGTCGCTGTAACAACGTTGATTCAGAGAACTATCTGGCTTAATCGTGAATTTTTCCGTTGTTGAAAGAAAAAAAAAACCAACAATAAAAACAACATGGGAGTGAATGACCTCCGTAATACAGAGAGCATAAAGCACTTTTTTTCCTCGATATTATTAACTGAAAAAAAGAGACTATAAACTTGAGTTCCCTCCACTTCCACGTAATCATAAATTTCACACGTCTATAGAAGAAAAAGAAGGGAAAAAGTGTAGCAGTACATGATTTCTTTGTTTTGGAAGTCGGTGATCGTTTGCGGGAATGAGTCCTCTCCCTCTCTTTCTCTCTATCTCTACTTATTTTTTGTTCTTCATTCAAATTGTACCTGTTTATATGATGTTTAGAAAGCAATGAGTATACGAAGCGTGTCCATTTAGATTTGGTTTGCTTCATTTAGATCAGAATCAAGCGAGTCAACGGCAATAGATCGTTGCGCGCGCGTTTCTTCCGAGTGCACCAAGCATATCAAAAGAATGGGCAAAACTTTGAAGAAAAAGAAACGATAGCACAGAAATGTTATGTTTTTCTTCTTCGTATCTCTGGTTGTTGTTGTTGTTGTTCATTGTGGAAGAATATTAACGTATATTTGCAATAAAAATCATCGTACCATATCGTTCCGTAATAATTTTGTTGTATTCCCCTTTTATCCGCTCTTCTCTTGCCATCGTAGCAATCAAAATAATGTTTTATTGATAACGAGCACACTTCTTTTTCATATTTCAATTTCGATGACGATTCTCTATCCCCATCTCTCTCTCTCTCTCTCTTGATGTTTTTGTCCTTACTATGCACACCAAGATCATAGCTGGTTTTTCTATTTCGATCACAGAGTCATTGGCAGAAATTTACACCGAAATGAACTCAACTCAGCTGCATGGACACAGTTGGCCAGTTGCGTGAGAGAGTCGGACGGTATGATTTCTTTTTCCACATTGTCATATCGAATGGCGAATAATGAATTTAAATGAATGTTTGACACGGTCGGTGATCACCACGAAATGCAATTATACATATTCTGTTTTTTCTTCTTTTTCTTTTGTTTCCACTCGACATAAAATGTGGCTTTAATCGTCATAATTATGTGCATACACAAACAAATTAAGAGTAATATATGATACAAGAACAAGAGGGGAGCGGAGCAGCAATACTATATTGATCTTTGAGAAGGTCCTTCCAATCTTTATGATTCGATTAAATGAAATATATTCATCATTTGCTTTCATCATAATAATAACAATCTAACTGATAACATCTACCTTATTACAAAGTAGCTGGAGTGCATAACGCTCAAGAATCTCGGCGCATAAAATGCATTTCCACGTAATTTCTGACTGACACACACACACCACACACAATTCCAGTTACCATAAAAAACCAAATTTCAATATTCCAAATGCATCGGTAAATGAGTTTCGAGTGCGTGTGTGAGTGTTTTTTTTTCTTTTCATTTTATTGCAATGAACTTTTGTTGAAT